GACTTAAGCAAATACTCGCCTCCTGTCATTAATAAAATTAAGAATATAGGTACACTAAAGCTAACCCTTCTAAATGATTATTATTTGGATAACCAGGTGGATTAGGTCTGGTAATCCTTGCAAGCAAAAACTCTGCATCATGACTGAGAGATAGGGTATGCTTTTGTGGTCCAGTGACCACAGAAAAACATTGGTAGACACATTGCATCAAAGTGCCTGTTAATGACTAACTATATGAGGAGAGGCACCAAGCTTTGTTATAAGCATGACCATACACGTATTACAATGCCAGGCTTTCAATTTGTTTCCACAAAGCAATATACAGATGCGGATATAAACTCACGACGTATTATAAGAAAAACTGTTTGAACACCAAACTGAGACTCGAGAGATCAGTGAACAGTGGACCAAAATAAATAAATTAAATCTTTTACAATTAATATACTTTCTTTAAATTACTTTAGTTCCTGTGTTAACAATAGAATTTTAAAGTAAAACAATGTGCATCTAAAAGCCACATTTTATTTTTTTGTGTGCATATTAATCACAAGGCCGTTCATAACAAATAGAACTGTTTTTTAAAACTGAAGTCTGTGAACACAAAATGACCTTGCACTGAAAATTCACTTGCAAAAAACAAACAAAAAACCTTTTTTCTCTTAGTAAATTAATTAATTCATTAAACGTAGTTAGAAACTCCCTCAAAGTCATGATCACATGCAAGAAACATGTCATCTTTACATACTGTGTAAGTCTATTAAACAGTGAAATAGCATTTTTACCCTGTATATTATTTTGTCACAGCTATAATGTGTAGTGTAACAAACGATTTTATAAGTATTGTGCCAACTTTTCATTATAAGCCAGCGGTTTAGCAAGCCATAGAATATTTATTTATTTATTCATTTATTCTTTAAAGCTCTGACCTCTAATGGCAAAGCTCTCGTCACAGTGTCCATTGCAATCTGCTTTTTTACTTGTTAGATAAATAAAGTTATGAATATGTTCAGAGATTTCTTGGGCAACAAATTCAAAAAAATAAATAAAATAAAACTTTGCATTTATGCTAAACCTGCCTGTTGTAAACTAAACTGTTTCTGTATATTTCTTGTCATAAGTACTTGTACTTGAATCTGTTTAACAAAGCTGTTTATATTGTGGTAAAAAATAAAAAAAAATATATATATATTGATTTACCTTTAAAAGATACCTGCATTTTTTTATTAAATATCTTTTATGTCTTTAAGGCATAAATGATCTGCAAATTAAGATTATATACAATGTATGTTCTGGGTGTTCCCATGATTCCTTTTCTATCAGTTTTTCTTTAAGTCTGGAATCAGATTACTTTTGGGATGAGCACCCCTCTTAGCTCCCCAGTTTCAGAGGCTTCTTTTGAGGTGACAATAGAAAAGTATAGATTCTATAAAATAGAGGTGAGGGGGCTTTGGACAGTGATGTCACTTTAATTATACTTTTCATATAACAGATATGTGATGTGCAATGTGATTTTATATATCAGAGCATTATCACTTTAATTGACACTGCATTTTCCTTTATGCATTATTCTTTATCCATTATTCTTTATTGTAACGGAACTCCAGTACTCCGACCGAGTACCTCCGCCAAGTCTGATTCCTTGTAGCTATCAGGGACCCTGAAACACTTCAGACCCAGACGCCGAGGCTTGACTGGGATCATTTAGGGCCTTTTCCACCCTGGACCAAACACCAGACGACACATGGTGAAAGTTAAACAGCAACTCTTTAATGAAACACATAGTTTAAGCCCCCGACAGCCTCATTTACATACAATAGGTTACATAGATTACTATAGTACAAGGAAGGGTGGGGTCAGACAATAGTAAGGGCTGATGGGAGATTGAGGAGGGACAGAGCAGCTAGATTAAACTGGTCTGGCAGTGTCCCTGGGACAACACCCTGCTGGGGAAACCATAGGACAGGGAAAAGGGGGGAGGGGGAGATGCACAGACCAGCAATACATTCAACATACCCTGCACAAGTAATAGGCACAATGTGACAAAACACAAAAGGAATTTGGGAGCCCACCCATAGTGTCTGTCTTCCATCCCCAGTGATGGTAACTACCGTCACATTTATTTTTTCTTAAATTTTAATGTCTGTTTAGAATATTGCAGGCTTTGCAAAATCACATTAATTTTGCATTATATATATTCACAATGCATTACAACATATTATTAAAATCAGCATCTTTCAGCATCAGCACTACCTCCCACTGGAATTAGTGTAGGATGCACCAATATACTGTAGAATAGTGGGAGACCTGCATAAATACGGGCGGGTAGCCCACAGTAAACCCAGTTCATGTTTTACCCTCAATGCGGCTCTTGGTCTCGTTATTGGAGGAGAATTTACTACACTTGGGAGATATATGGTTTCGGCTGTTAGCGGCGATTCGTGAGTTTACTGATCGGGAAGTGAAGTACCCGTACGGGTCCCATTCAGGAGATTGGAGTATTCCCCTGCTTGCAGTTCGTATAATTGGAGTTGGTACGAATGAAGCTTGCGTTATGGTGAGAGGGGAGGATTAACCAAACGGCGGTTTTACTATTTGATGCTGAGAGTGCCGTTACAGTACCTAAATAATAAATAGTGAGTTCTCTCTTGAACGAATGGTACAGAAAGAGAGGTAGAGGGTTGTTCTGTGCTTACCTAGACTTACCCTTGATTAGCATTTTTTTTTTGCTTTACAACGTGTACAACAAATTCTTATTGATTCATCCCAAAACCTGTATATCTGAGCTTTCTGTTACTAGGAGTTGGAATATATTTTTCCATGAGTAATTGGTGACATAGTTGGTGATTTATCAAGCACCAGTCAGGTTTAAAGTTTTTTTCCACTTTCTTGCTATAATTAACTTTTTTGCTGTCAGCATATGCAGCATCAAGATCAAATCCTTTTTTTAAATACGGGGTATATTAAAATGTAAAAGCATCAGATTAGGTCTTTTTTATTTAGTTTAAAACCAACCTTCTGCCATAGTTCTTTGATAACCGGGCACTCCCACCAAACATGAAGAAAATCTACCACCTCTGCTCCACATCTCCAACACTCATGGGTAGGGAAGATTTTGTTAATCATTTTGGGGGCAAGATAACATCTATTTAACATCTTGAAATGTAGCTCATTTAGATTTAATCAATGAAGATTTGTATTTAAAGGTTATATTGAGTTACACCAGTCTTCATGAGAAAATTTGTATACCCGGATCTCTCTGCCATTTAGGTAATGCAGACGGGTAGATTTCGTTTTCCATTTTTTTCCTTTTGTATAATAAATAGTTAGATTTTGAAATAAATTTTTTGGTATCTTTAGTGTTAATAATTTGCTCAAAATATTTAAAATTTTCCTGTTCATTTGGAAATCTAAGGTTTTTCATTAGGTATGATCTAACTTTTAAATAATCAAAAAGTTCTTATTTGTAAGCCCTGATGTTAATTTTAGATCTAAAAAAGTTCTGAATTTCACTGAATCAATTAGGGCTAGAACCATTTGATACCATTTTCTGACCATGGGGATAAATTTAATCCAAGTTAATGTTCCAAGAAAGGAACCATAGATGTTGGAGTAAGTCTTAAGGATAGAGCTAATAGTATAAATGGGAAACTAAACAAAAAAATCCTCAAAACAATTACTATACTAAAATAGGGTATGTGTAATAAAATCGAAAGAAGGATTCTTTAAAAGACAATACCATAACATAGCCAATGCTTATCTTATATGGAATTTCTTTATTATTGCTAGGACAAATGTTACATGGTATGTCTACTAAATGTCTACAAGTTGAAACATTCTTTCTATGTTCTTCATTACAAGAAGCCTATTGAGCACTCACATTGAAGTACATTTTAGGAAATACATGTCCTTCAAAAAAGTGGTTGTATTCAATCTTATTTCTTCCCTCCCCCCTCTTTTAGACATTTAGTAGACATACCATGTAACATTTGTCCTAGCAATAATAATAAAATAAAGGGATTCCATATAAGATAAGCATTGGCTATGTTATGGTATTGTCTTTTAAAGAATCTTTCTTTCGATTTTATTACACATACCCTATTTTCGTATAGTAATTATTTTGGGGATTTTTTTGTTTAGTTTCACCTTTATTCTATAAGCTCTATCCTTATGGGTTGCTCCAACATCCATGGTTCCTTTCTTGGAACATTAACTAGGATTTCAACTCAGGGTCAAGCCCTTTTAAGTTGGAGGAAACTATTTAAGGGACCTTATTCCTTTTTTTTTTTTTTTAATAAGTTGTTTAATAATTCTATATTCATAAATGGAAACGATTTCTAAGTCTAGCTTCCATTTAATTTTATACCAATTTTTTAATATCTGATTTAAATCAAGACTACCATGAAAAAAAGTTAACTTTTTTAGTTGTTTGATAAGATATCCAAAAATGTGAAGGTACAGATTTAAAGGAACCTGTTCTCTCAACTTCTAATTTATACCAACTTTCCTCCCGAGATGATTCATGGAGGGTTCATATTGCATGGGTTAGTAGGGGTGCACAGAAAAGTGTTGTCAAAGATGGAATACCTAACCCTCCTTCTCCTATTTTATTTGTCAATATTTTGTAAATTTCTTTATTATGGTCTTTTCATGTTATAACATGCGATAAGTTATGATACATTATGAAACTCGCAGGTTCCGTATACTTATAGGTGCTTAATGTACCTTGAGATACGCAGATCTCCGTGTAGGCTTCAATGGTAGGGAGACTCGTAGGTCTCGTGGCAAGATGTATCATATGATCATTTCTTTCAGAAGCGGGATCGTGGGTCCCCCATATCTTTACTTATGATAATTGGCTGTAGGAGTTACCGTTATAGTGGGTAGGCTACAGAGGTGTGGATTAATTACCTTCCTAGTTAGATCTAAGGTTGTGCTTCTTAGGTTGCTATCGTCTTAGTCCTAGTATTTGTCCGTGCGATTGTGTTTCTCATGTCATCAGTCTATGGGTTGGCAGGGTTAGTGCTAAAGGTCCTTTTGGTCTTTGTATGTCCAGATTGGGCTTCGTCGTCTTTGGCCCGGATTAGGGAGTTTGTGAGTGGTGTATTGCATGGTCCAGTGTTTACTTTATCGCGGGCGCGGTGGCGAGGAAGGGCCCCGTGTCCTTTCATGCGTCTGGTCTTATTCAGTGCTGTCATAGTTTTGTCTCAGTAGGAGGCCAAGGGTAGGACCCGTGGGCCCCAGCCGCCACCGCCCGGGCCCCAAGGCAAGTCTAGTTAACGGGGGAGAGAAAGAGAAGAAGAAGAGATAGAGAAGGAAGGAGGGGTGGGAGGGGGAGAGTGGGGTGCAGGGGCCCCGGGGGAGGGGATGCTCACGTAGATTATACGTTGGTTGTGTGTGTCTCGGTGGCTCCTATGTCTCCTTCCTCCCCCTGTGATCGTGTGTGTGTTAGGTACATGTACCAAGGTCTCCATAAGTCGACATGTTTGGTGCTTCTCCCTTGTAGGTCCGCTATCTTTGCTTCCGCTGTGTGGATTTCCTCGACTTTCTGTTGCCATTGTGCAATCGTTGGTGGTTGTGTGCTTTTCCACATCGTTGGAATTAGGGCTTTAGCTGCATTGAGTAGGTGTCTCAGGATTGATCTCTTGTATTGTGCCACGGATTGGTTCGTGAAGTGGAGCAGGGCGGCTTCTATGCTAAGGTCTGGTGTGTCGCTTAGAATCGAGTTTAGTTCTTGTCGGATTTGTTCCCAGTATGGTTGTATTTTAATACAGTCCCACCATATATGTCGTACTGTACCCGTGTGGGTTTCACATCTCCAGCATGTGTCAGGGGTACCTGGGAATATCCTGTGTAGCAGTGCAGGTGTTCGGTACCAGTGGGATAGTAGTTTAAAATTGGCCTCCTGGTATTTTGAGCTGATCGAGCTCTTATGTTGTAGTATGAGGATCTGTTCCCATTGCGCGTCGCTGTAGGTCCTGCCTGTGAGGTCTTCCCACCGGCCTTTAAATGCTGTATTCCTGACCCGGTCTCCCAGCAGTATTCTTTGGTATATTATGGAGACCCTCCCATCAGCCTCAGGGGTGTTGACGCACAGGTTTTCGAACCATGTTGTGTCCCTGTGTACTGCCTGTCTATTCGGGATGTTATAATAGAAATGCCTGAGTTGTGCGTACCTGAACCTGTGCATGTGTGTGGGGGTCTCGGTCCCAGTCCATTCCTGTATGTTCTTTAGCCCTGCATTATGTAGCGCTTCCTTCAGAGGGAGATATTCATCTCCATTAGTTTCTGGCCAAGCGCTCCTCGGCAGGCCGCCACCCAAGGCCGCGTTGTGTGTTAGTGGGATTAACGGGCTCGGTTGCGGGGAGATATAGGCTTCCTTTCTCATTATAGCCCATGTTTTCAGTGTTTGTGTGACTGGTGAAGTCCTATCCGTATTCGGTGGTTCACCTCTGGCTTGGTACCATACTAGTGAGGGTAGAGTACCTTGCATGCTTACCCTGTCCAGGTCTGCCCATCTTTTGTGGTTCGGGGCTGTAAGCCAGTCTCTGATCCTCTGTAGGACCGTAGCCTGGTAGTATTTTCGTACATCGGGCAGTGCTAGTCCGCCCCATGCTTTGGGTAGGCATAATTTATCATGGCTGAGCCTCGCCTGGCATCCTTTCCAGACGTAACTGCTTATCGCAGATTTAATTGTCGCGAAGAAATCCGGCGGTATGTGCCACGGTATGGTGTTGAAATAGTACAGGAGTCTTGGCAGAATGTTCATTTTTACTACCGCTATCCGCCCTTGCCAGGAGATGTATTCATGGTTCCACGTCTTCAGATCTCTTTGAAGTTGTTGGAGGAGCGGGGTGTAGTTCCTCGAGTATAGTTCTGATGGTTTGCATGGGATCCATATGCCAAGGTACTTCATCTGGTCTTCGCAGCATGTGAAGGGATAGGTCCGTTTGATCTGGTTCCAGTCCGATGGCGGGGTCGAGACTTGCAATATTTCTCATTTTGTGTGGTTCAATTTGAGCCCCGATACCCGGCCATATCTTTCGAATTCCTCCATTAATACTGGTAGTGTGTTCGTTGAGTTGTTAATGTAGAAGAGCATGTCGTCGGCATAAGCTGCCACCTTGTGTTCCTGGTCTTTATGCCGGAGTCCTTGGATGGTGGGTGTTCGTCTGATCTTATCTAAGAAAGGCTCTAAGGTGAGGGCGAAAAGAAGGGGGGATAGGGGGCATCCCTGTCTGGTACCATTGTGGATATTGAAGCTAGTTGTGAGTGCTCCATTGACCCGTATTCTTGCATTCGGGTTGCGGTATAGGGTTTCTATCCACGTGAGCATCCCCTTCCCCAGCCCTATCTTGGCGAGAGTTGCCATCATAAAGTGCCATTGTACCCGATCGAACGCCTTTTCTGCGTCTGTGGAGAGTAATAGCATATTCTTGTTTTCCTTTTGTGCCAGGTGCTGAATAGTGAACGTCCTCAGGGTGCAGTCTCTTGCTTCTCTCCCCGGTATGAAGCCCGTTTGGTCTGGGTGGATCAGTCTCGGGAGGTAGGGTTGTAGTCTATTAGCTATGATTTTGGAGAATAGCTTGACGTCCGTGTTGAGGAGTGAGATGGGGCGGTAATTGCTGCAACATTCTGGGTTTTTACCCGGTTTGGGTATGACGGTGATGGTGGCGGCCATTGTCTCTGCGTGGAGTCCGCCTCCTTCCTGCAGTTGGTTCAGCGCGGCCGTAAGTCTGGGGATCAGGATGTCACTAAACTTCTTATAGTACCCGGCCGGGAATCCGTCTGGGCTGGGTGCTTTGCCATTCTTAGATCCCTTAATTGCTTGCCTGACCTCCTCTTCAGATATTGGAGCTTCCAAAGCTTCTGCTTCTTCTCTCGTTAGCGCCTCTGGTTGGAATCCTTGTAGATATTGTTCTGTTTCTCTGGCGGTAGTGTCCTGTAGCTCGTTGGGGCGGTCCGCGTGGATATTGTATAGGGTCGTGTAGTATGCGTGAAACTCCTCGGCTATTTCTTCTGGGAATTGGGTGAGGTGTCCTCTTGCAGTTCGTAGTGTTGGTACCTGGGCTCTTGTTTGTTGTCCTCTTATCATTTGCGCTAATAGTCTGCCGCTTTTGTTCGCGTGTATGTAGTAGAAGGCCTTCGAGCGTTGCAGTGATCTGTAATATTTGCGGTCTATGAGCTCTGTGAGTTGTCTGCGTGCAGCTAAGAGTTCTCGGTATTGGGATTCTAGTTGGCTTCGTTTATGTAGAGTCTCCAGGTGTGCTATTTGGGTTGTTAGGTCTTCGATTGCTTTCAAATTATCTCGTTTCTTTCATGATGCTAGTCGTATAAAATGTCCTCTAAGGACGCTTTTATGTGCCTCCCACAGTGTTGTCTGTGAGATGTCGGCCGTTGCGTTCTCCTCGAAGTATTGGTTCAAATGTTCGGTCAGTTGTGACTGTATTGCTACGTCTAGAAGAAGTGATTCATTCATTCTCCAGGATGTTCTAGTGGGCTTGAAGATGGGAGAGTCTAGGTGTATAGAGGTTTCGCTATGGTCCGCCCACGGGGTCGGTTTGATGTAGGCCCCTCGTAGATGTGTGAGTCCTTCTTGTTGGATGAAAATGTAGTCAATGCGCGAGTATCGTTTGTGTAGGGTCGAGTAGTGTGTATAATCTCGGCCGTCCGGGTGTAGTGCTCGCCAAGTATCCACCAATCTCAGGTCGTGTAGTGTTCTGTGGAGCCTTCTGATCGCCACTTGTGCTATCGTGCTGTGTCCAGTAGAAGTGTCTGCTATAGGGTCTAGAGGAAGGTTGAGGTCGCCTCCGAGGATAAGGATGCCCTCCGTAAAAGTTGCTAGCTTCAGGAGCGTTTTGCGCAGGAACTTAACCTGGTTTACATTTGGGGCGTAAACTGAAGCGAGCGTATAGGTTCTCTGGGCGATTGTTCCTTTCACGAATACGTATCTCCCCTCTGTGTCTTTGAGCGTTTCGGAGTGAGTGAATTGTAGGGTGGTGCTTAGGAGAATCGATACTCCAGCTTTTCGTGTAGTTTGGTGGCTGCTGTGGTAGGTGGTATTATAGTGTTTGTTTTGTATTCTTTGGGTGTCCACTTCTCTGAGGTGTGTTTCTTGTAGGAGGGCAATCGTTTTAAGTCTTGTAGAAGGTGGGACCTTTTTTCGGGGGCGTTCAGCAGTTTTGTGAGATTATATGGAATGGTGCGGGTGTATATGCCATGGTGCGTGAGTTTATTGTAGTATTCTGTAGGGGTGGTGAATGGTGGCCCAGGAATGGGTTAAGGGCAGGGATGGGTAGGCGGGTGGGGTTATAGAGTTAGGTGGGGTTGTAGAGAGGTTCACCTCAGGGCCCGCGCGGCCGCGCCCCGCGCCCGCCGCTCCCGTTCCCAGTGGCCTGGGGGTCTCTCGTGAGTCGTGTAATTAGTCGGTGCCTATGAGCTTGTGTGTTTTAGTCTATATCGTTTCTCGGGTGTTTGGAGTGTCAGTCCTTGTAGGGATAGGTACCTGTGTAACCGAGTTGGATGGCAATGCCAAACCGCCACTTAGCGTGAGCTAGGGCAACAAGGCAGTGGTCCCCTCGGTAGTCTGTGTTTACACAGGTGGAGGTCGGGGTCGTGGTGTCCCGTTTATACCATATACCACCAGGGTAGCGGTGGTGTGTTCGGGTGGTGTAGTCGGTCCGAGTGTGCCTATCTCGCGGGTCTCCTGTCTCATTAGCGATTGGTAGCGTGTTGGGTGCTGAGGCTTACTGTGGCGGTCGTGAGGGTTTGATATGGGTATTGGTTGGGTATCCGTGTGACGTTATCCCAGTGTAGCCGCTGGGTAGGGCCTCCCGGTCTCAGTGGAAGTGTAAGGGTGGGCCTACTTAAGCGTGTTGTATGTGTTTCCTAGCACGTGCGGTCTGCTCGTCAGTCATGCCTGGTTGAGTAGGTAATGTAGTTATCGCGGTGATAGCGTCCCATTCCGCGGGGCGCACCCTCTCCGTGTGTCGTAATGGGTCTCGCAATCGCAGCATCTCCCACGATGTGAGCCACCCCTTCCCCTCCCATGCGTTGCTGTCCCTTTCTCAGCTAATCTCTAGTTCCTTCTGGTTACCCCTCTTTTTTTCCCCCTAGTCCGTACCGTCTCAGGGTGCTTCAGGTGTGGTCGTAGTCGGATCCCAGGAGTTTCTCGGTATACAGTGTCGTTACTGTTAGTCTCAAGGGGTGGGGGTCTGAAAGTTTGCCTCGTCATACAAGAATGACCTCCTGTGGGGGAGGGGCGTGGGGTGTCGACTCCGGGTATTGTCTGTATGTTCGACTTGGGGGGGTCAGATCTTGGTGTGCGCTTGGGGGCTCTGTCACCAATAAGTCCTTACCTAACGTACCCCAGGGGCCCATTGCAGCGTGTCTATCCCTCTCAGATTTGTCGGCTAAATTTTGTTTGCCTGTCAAGTCGGCAGTGTCCCTTTATTGATATACTAGGGGTTCTGGTCAGCCCAACAGTGGCCTGTCGCTTCTATCTCAGTGTCTTGGGGTACAACTATGGAGGTGCCTTTGTGTATTCCCTTAGTGCGCTAGTGCAAACCATAAAAACTTCAAACTGTGGAACATTAGATTATGAGAACTGTTAGCTCCGAATGACACAGGCCACTGTTTAGTCTTTAGCCCAGTGTTCTCCATTGTGAGCAGAGTCTGAGTCTTACGCTTGTCCCCCCCGCCAATAGTCCCCCCACCCCAAACGCAGCCTGGTTCTTTTAGGATCGAGAAGCTCGAGTCATTGTTTTTAACCCCTATCGTTATGCCCCTTGCTCAGTACATGCAGTGTGGGTTGTGCAATGTGTATCACTTATCTGGGTTCTCGTCGGCGGTTACCGTTGTCCGGTGTCCAGATGTTTCTCGGGCATGCGGGGTTTTCTGCAGGATCTCCAGGTGGGGGTGGTAGTTGTATCGGGGGTGGGGGGGGGAGTTCGTCATTACTGCTATTCCTCGGGTGCTGCTGGATCCAGGCGTCTGCGGGCACTGGGGCGTCTTGATGGGTCCTCCCCTCGGCGTCGCTGCTGTCGAGGCGTGTAGGGTCCAGGTCTCTGCTCCAGGGGTCCGAGTATCCAGTCTGCTATTTCAGTGGGCGGTAGGCTCATGCGGCGTAGGAATTCTGAGCTCTCTTCCGGCCAGCGTAGGGGTATCCATTCGTTTTGGCATCTGGCAAGTAGGGCAAAGGGGAACCCCCATTTGTATGGGATGTTTCTCTCTCTGAGTAGCGATGTGATGGGACGCAGGGCCCTGCGGGCGTCGAGTGTGAGCGGTGACAGGTCTTGGTACAGGGCCACATCTGCACCGCGGAACCTCCACAGCGGTCTGGAGCGAGCTTTGAACATTATTTTTTCTTTATGCTTGTAGTTATGGAGGCAGCAGATGACATCTCGTGGTGTGTTATCTGCTGGCCTGGGCCTATTAGCTCTGTGTGCCCGGTCAAATGTCATGTTATCCGGCATGTCCGCTCCCAGGATCTCACGGAATAGGGCTCTTAGCGTGACCTCCACATCTTCCTCAGTGGCTGGCTCAGGTATTCCGCGCACGCGGATGTTGGAGCTTCGGCCCCTGTTGTCCAGGTCCTCTGTCTGGCGTCGGAGGGCCAGTAGCATTTGCCCTTGTCTTGTGGCTGCAGTGGTGTTGGTCCCTGCTCTCTCAGTCACCCCTCTCACTGCTTCTTCCAGGGTTTGGAGTCTGCCTTCCTGTGCTGTGACCTCTGACCGCAGGGCAGTCACCTCAAAGCGGATTGCAGCATGGAGGTCGTCTGAGAGGGCTTGGAGGTCATTTTTTGTGACCATCTGGGCTGCTAGCGCTCTTATGTCAGCGCTGATGTCGGCCAGGGTGGGTGTATCGGGCTCTGGGGGCTGTGCACGTGGTGGGGAGCCGGTTTCCGCCGGGCCTACCTGCTCGTGTGTCGCGGCTGCCGGCGTGTGTAAGTACCCGTCCATGGGGCCCGCCGGGTGGTTTGTGGGGGCAGCCCTCGGTGTTTGGGAGCCCTCAGGGCCTTTTCTTCTGCCCATATTGCGCCCTCGCTCTTGTCTGAGCACGCTTCTTAATGCTGGGTGAGACGGAGCTCCGGGATCAGGCTGCCATGTCGCTCGGCGGTCAGGCCACGCCCCTTGTCAATATTTTGGAACTTATCCTTGGTCTTTTCTTTGAGTATATGGATTTAGAAAAAGAGGACCTTAACATAGTAATCCAACTTAAAGAAATATTGCTTGGTATTAGACTCAGAATGTATGTTAACTTGGGGATAACATAAGCTTTTATAGTATTAATCTTGCCCCACCAAGATATTTTTTTCCTCCAAGAGTTTAATTTAACATTAACCTATTTTATCAAGGGGAGCAGATTAATCTCCATCCAATTTTGTGGGTTTGTTGATATTTTCAGACCCAAATAAGAAAAATATTCCTTTGCCCAAAGGAAATCAAATCTCTCCATGATCCTGGCTTTCATCTGTAGGGTTAAGGAAAACGAAAGAGCAGTTGTTTTAGAAGTGTTGAGTTTATAATTCGAGAAACGACTATATCTATTGATCACTTCTATTAATTCATTGATTGAGTTTATTGAGTCCTCCAGCACTATAAGTACATCGTCCACATAGAGATTTATTTTAATCTCTACATTGTCATTGAAGCCTTTGATTTTTCCATTGCTCCTTAATTTAAGTGCAGGAATTTCGATAGTCATGACATATAAAAGAGGAGAGAGCGGACAGCCCTGCCTAGTGCCATTTTTTAGTTTAAATGAGTTCAAAGATATACCCTGGCCTATTACTTTCCCCATAGGATTTGAGTAGAGAGCCATTATGGCTTGTTGGATCCTTCCTGAAAAACCAAAAGCTTGTAAGGTATTTGAAAGGAATTCCCAGCTGACCCTGTCAAAGTCTTTCTCTGCATCTAGTGACAGGGCCAGCATTGGGACCTTCCTTCACTTAGCAATCTCAAAGATGTTTAACAACATGCGTATGTGACTTGCTGAGGATCTCCCCGGTATGAAACCGACCTGATCTACATGTATTAGATTAGATATAACTGGTTTGATAATATGAGCCATAATGTCTGAATACAATTTTAGGTCTTCATTCAGAATGGATATAGGTCTATAGCTTTTAGCATCATAAGGTTTTTCTTCTTGTTTTAAGATAGTGACAATATTCCCTCTTAGGATGTCTTCAGGAAGAATTCCTTTTTCTGTGAACTCATTAAAAGCGACTTGGAGATGTAGCACGAGGTCTTCTTTAAAGGTTTTATAAAACATTGCTATCAGTCCATCGGGGCCTGGTGATTTTTTAGGTTTTGAATGATCAATTATTTCCATAATCTCTTGTCTGGAGAAAGGTTTGTTAAGTTTTTCTAGTTGTAAAGGAGTTAACTTTCTAAATTATTTTCCCTGAAAATAGGATACTACAGTTTGTGGAGTCATGTAATACTATTGTCACGATTCGGGGAACCCAACACGCTGGCACACACACACACACAGAAAAGGTGCCGTACCGGACCTTAGAGTGGCCGGGCTAAGCACGCTAAGAATAGTCAGGAGACAAGCCAAGTAAAGGGAGCCAGAAAACGGGAGAACGAGAAACAAGCAGAGGTCAAAGGAGTGGAGAAGACAGGATAATCGGAATAACGAGCCAAATAATCAATAACCAGAGAGCAAGACGAGAACACTACACTACAGGTAACACAAGACCACAACAGGGCACTGAGGGACAGGAAAGGTAAGTATAAATACCCTTGGTTTAATTCTGATTGGATAACTTCCAATCAGAATTAACAATCACACGTGGGGGATATCTATACCTTCCACTGTGATTGTGGTACTGTTCCTTTAACGCCGGGTCACTCACGTGACCCCGGCGTTTACATAGTTCAGTGACCTCCCAGCATGCAGCGTTATACATGCTGCCGCTGGGAGGCGTGGAGGACGCGGGCGGCGAGCGGCAGAGAGGAGACGCCGCTCGCCGACAGGTAAGCAGAGGGGAGACCGCGGGCGGCGATGGACTGAGGGTGAGTGCTGCAAGTGGTGTGCAGCCTCCCCTCCTAGCCGCCCGCGGATCCCTGACGTAACCCCCTCCTCGAGGCCCGCCCAAAGGGCGGGAAGCCAAAGGCTTCAAAGGGAGCCGCGCATGAAAGGAGCGGATCAAAGAGGGCGCATTCAAGTCAGAGGCAGAAACCCAGGACCGCTCCTCAACCCTTCCAATCAACCAGATACTGCAACCGACCCCAAGAAAAACGAGAATCAAGCAGAGCAGCCACTTCGTACACGTCATTAGAGACAGCGCGGAGGGAATCTGGACGCCTGAGAGGAGCAGAGAATCGATTACAGAGCAGGGGCTTCAAAAGGGAGGTGTGGAAAGTGTTAGGTATACGCATGGAAGGAGGCAAGGCCAGGGAGTAGGACACAGGATTGACCCTACGCAATACCTTATAGGGGCCAAGGAACCTGGGCGCGAATTTCATTGAGGGGACACTGAGGCGGAGATTCTTAGAAGAAAACCAAACCCTATCACCCGGGACATAAGAGGGAGCAGCACCCCTACGACGATCAGCAAATCTCTTCTGAGTAGCAGTCGCACGAGAAAGAGTAGCATGGACCTGATCCCACATCTTCCGTAAGGAGGTGAGGTGCTCGTCCAAAGCGGGTATTCCCTTGTCGGAGAACACGCCGGGAAGGACAAAGGGTTGGAACCCATAAGCAACCATAAAAGGACTTAAGCCAGTGGACGAATGAGTCACAGTGTTCCTGGCGAATTCAGCCCAAGGAAGGAGGTGAGACCAGTTGTCCTGGTGTGCATTCGTGAAACAACGTAAATATAACTCCACAGATTGATTCGCCCGTTCGGCCGCTCCATTAGATTGTGGATGATAGGAGGAAGTAAACGACAAGGAAATCCCCATCTCAGCACAAAAGCCCCTCCAAAACTGAGAGACAAATTGAGGACCCCTGTCAGATACGATATCCTGTGGTATACCATGCAAGCAGAAAACCTCTTTGGCAAATACCTGAGCCAACTGAACCGCAGAAGGTAGTTTCTTAAGTGGAATAAAGTGTGCCATTTTAGAGAATCTATCAGTCACAGTCAAAATTACTGTCATTCCATCGGATGAAGGAAGATCCACAATAAAGTCCATGGATAAGTGGGTCCATGGTTTCTTGGGTACGGATAAAGGCATTAGGAGTCACGGGGGTTTGACATTAGGGGACTTACACTGTGCACAAACACGACAAGTCTGCACATAATCCACCACGTCTTGCTTAAGTGAAGGCCACCAAAACTGTTGAAGGAGATCCTTGTATGTTTTGGTAACCCCTGGGTGGCCAGCCGTTTTGGCGGTGTAAAATAAAGCTAACAATTTCTTTCTATCTTTCTCTTTCACACATAATCTACCAACAGGTGTCTCAGATGGTGCTTGGGTTTGGTATGCCTTGATACCATCAAGGAAAAGAGACGAAATAACTAAACGGGTAGCAGCTTTTATCTTAGACGTGGGTATAATGGGTTCAGGAGTGGGGGCGATAGACTCCAAAGGTTCGTATTGTCGGGAGATAGCATCAGCCTTGACATTACGGTACCCAGGCCTATATGTGATAATGAACTGAAAGCGTGAAAGAAATAAGGACCATCTGGCTTGACGAGAGGACAACCTTTTAGCATCAGCTATATACGAGAGATTCTTATGATCAGTTATAACCAGGATTTTGTGTCTAGCTCCTTCTAATAAGTACCTCCACTCTTTAAATGCCATCACAATAGCTAATAGTTCCCTATTCCCGACGTCGTAATTCTTTTCCGAATCAGACAGTTTTTTAGAAAAGTAACAACAGGGATGGAGGGGTTCGTTATAGGATACCCTTTGTGATAATACAGCTCCTATACCTGATTCTGAAGCGTCTACTTCCATTATAAAGGGAAGGGAAGGATCAAGATGGTGTAGCACAGGGGCAGTGGCAAATGCCTTTTTGAGGGTTTTGAAGGCTTTGATGGCTTCAGGAGTCCAAACCCTGGGGTGCAAACACTTTTTAGTTAGTTTCGTGATAGGAGAAATGACCGATGAAAAGTTTTTAATAAACCTGCGATAATAATTGGCAAAGCCTATAAATCGCTGTATTGCCTTAAGGCCTTGAGGGAGAGGCCAAGACAATATGGCTTCTAATTTAGAAGGATCCATACTGAACCCCTGTTCAGAAATGACGTACCCTAGGAATTGTACTGATTTCTGGTCAAATAAACATTTCTCCAATTTACAATAAAGACCGTTCTGTAGCAATCTCTTAAGTACCTTCCTCACATGGGCATGATGTGACTCCAAATCAGGAGAGAATATGAGTATATCATCGAGATAAACCACAGCACAGACATGCAGTAGATCTCTAAGGACATCATTTATGAGGTCCTGAAAGACAGCAGGAGCATTACACAGTCCAAAAGGCATGACCTGGTTTTCTTTCTCAGAAAGCGGGTAGACCTTACCCCTAGGAGGCATCATTCCAGGTAACAAATTTATGGCACAATCATAATCCCGGTGTGGGGTAGTTTATCAGCTTCCCTCTTTTCAAAGACCAATGCGAGGTCTGCATACACAGGAGGGACAGAAACAGAAAGTGGTTTAGCTGTAGGCACATTAAGTAAACAAACGGGATGTAAACGGGCCATACAGTCTTGTTGACAAGATACCCCCCATATCTAGAGAATACCAATCGAGTACCAGGTTATGCTTAACTAACCAGGGAAAACCCAGAATGATGGAAGCTGTAGGGGAGTCAATTATTTGGAAGGCTATCCTTTCTTTGTGTAAGGCACCCACGACCATAACCATTTCTTGGGTTTCATGGGTCACCAGAGGTTTATCAAGTGGTCTACCATCTATGGCCTCAATGGCCAAGGGTGTGGCCTTTTGGATCAGATTCAAGGCTGCGGTTTTAGCAAAGTTCTCATCCATAA